TGGTGGCTCTGTGGCTAAGGATCTGTGCCTGTGGCTGGAAGGTTGCCAGTTCAAATCCTGCAGCTGGCAGAGGAATCCTATTCCGTTGGGCCCCTGAGCAAGGCCCTTCACCCCAACTGCTCCAGGGGCGCTGTACAATGGCTGACCCTGCGCTCTGACCCCAGGCTTCTGTCCCTGTCTGTGTCTCATGGAGAGCAAGCTGGGGTCTGCGAAAAGACAATTTCCTAATGCAAGAACTTGTATATGGCCAATAAAGTGATCTTATCTTAGGAACAAGTAATAAGTTTATTCCATGCTGAAAAAAAGAAGAAAGAAAACACAACGTTTCGGCCGTGGAGCCTTCTTCAGGTGTGAGGAACGGCCCACGGCCGAGACGTTGTTTTCCTTCTTCTTTTTTTCAGCATGGAATAAACCTATTACTTGTTATCTTATCTTATCATCTGCATCGCAGATTTGTCCTCTCCCACACGCCCCTGTCTCTCTGCTTACTTGCAGAGCCTGTGGCTCTCCGCTCAGGGGCGGCAGCTTGGTGGAGACTTGAGACACACCTGGGTGTGTGGCGCAGCACAGCTGCAGTGGCCTTTTCCAGCTGTTGGCTGTCTGTTCATTGTACTGTGGAATGTCTCCCTCTTGTGGTGGGAAGTGGGCACAGCATAAAGGAACTGCTGCCATCGGCCTGTGTGCTGAAATCGTGCCTGGCTGTTGCAGCAGGGATGCAGTGGGAATGGCTGCTGACTTGGTGCTTCCTGCTCTCTCACTCCCTCCAGATGACCTACTCCCTGACACGGTTTGCCATCTACGAGACTGTGCGAGACTGGGTGTGCAGTGGGAGCCAGGGCCCTCTTCCCTTCTACCAGAAAGTGCTGCTGGGAGCCTTTGGAGGTACAGCGCCCCCTAGTGTAACTGTGCATCATGCAGGCGCTCGGCCAGGCTGCAGGGGGTCTCACTCATCTCTTCCCCTGCAGGATTCACTGGAGGCTTCATCGGCACGCCTGCAGACATGGTCAACGTCAGGTAGGGCACCTGGGACGACGTAGAGGGAGCCTGGGACTCGGGGGCTGTGCCAGACCACAGGTCCCTGCGTCACACACAATACGCAGTGATGGTCACTGTTCTGACAGGAAACATGTTATATGAACAGTGAATTTTAGCTGAGGGATCAACTGTCCAAGTGTCTTGAGTTGTGTTAGTTGTGAGTACGTCCTCTCGCCTGTCCCTGGAGCAGGCGGTGGACCAGAGGCCAGCAGTGCTGTGTGTGGGCTCTGGCCTTGCGGGCTGTCCGTCTGCCAGCAGGGCTCTGCACAGCATCTTGCAGACAGGTTTAATTGCTCTGTTTGCTTCAGCTGGGCATGTGGTCAGAGGGAGGGTGCAGCTGTCACTGATTAAGCAGGGTGATTCATTGTTGCTCTAGTGCTGCTTTCAGTCTGGCACTTGACACGTGGCTGTGAACCACTCGAGCTGGGAAGAGCAGCAGAGGGGCTCCAGGGCTGATCGGAGTGACTCGCGAGGAGAAGTCTGCTTGTGGACTGAGCTGCAGCAGGTCCAGTCTGGCTTAGATCCATCAAGAAACTCTGCTGACCCTTCCCCACCTCCACCATCACCCGGATAATCCCATACATTTGTTTCACCATTCAGTGCCATAATTCATGCAGGAGCTTCAATTCACACATTGCATTTCTTGAAGAACAGATATAAATGATTCACAGACGTGCAAAAGAGCCCCTGTCCAGCCGTCACCTGGAGCTCATCTGGGCTGCCTCGGCCTCGCCAGACAGAACTGCACAGAGCTGGGCTGAGAGGAGGAGACGCACACCCTGAAGGGCTCCTGGTGTTTTTCCATCATTACCAGTCCAGCAGACCTGTCTGCTTCATGAACAGAGGAGCAGTGTGGGGCCACTAACCCCTGTGTGAGCTCTGGGAGCTCTGGGGTGCTTGTAGAAATATCATGCACAGACTGGGTCCCAATTGTTTACAGTGGACATTGCAGATGTCAGGTCTGCCTACTGCTGCCGTGTATTCTGGGGACAGAGAGCATTTAGCAGTGGAAGAACATGGTCAATAATACACTGTCAGCAAATAGCACTACAGATGTAGTTCAGCTCTGCTCCACAAGATGTCAGTGTTACCCCACGCTAGGCCACCCGTGTGGTCCCTGAGGCTGTCCCCAGCAGTGCCCGCTGTAGTACAGCATGCTGAAGAAATCACACATAGAACTGCACCCATGCAAACTTTCTGAAATTATGTGACATAACTTTTCTAAAATGTCAACATCTGTGATTAATTTAAGCAGAGATTTTTGTGCTGGTTCTGACCACATTTTGTGAAGTTTAACTGTTGTTTCTTCTTTTTCCAGGATGCAGAATGATGTTAAACTTCCTGCACACCTGAGGAGAAAGTAAGTGTTCTTATCCCCCAAACACCAGCCTCTGAGCCAGGTCAAGACCACTTTAACAACTAAAGACACCCAAACTGCTAAAGACAAAGAGCCGCTTTTCAGTCCCTCCTCAGTCAGTCCGTTTGTTGTTCAGGGAGTGACAGCAGACACTTGCCAGCATCTCTGCATGACCTGGGAGCAGGTCTCCACATCCAAGACCTGTCCAGAGACAGAAACAAGAGCTGGGGGATTTTGCAGTTGAGTATATATAAATTAAATGAGACCTTAACATAAGGCAGGTTGCAAATGGGGAAAAAACTAGACTTATTTCTGTCAAGCATCATGCTGTGTCCTCTGAAGTTAAAGAGTAACCAAGAGGCAGCAGAGGTGGTGATCTCATCTTAAAATGAGTTGCATAGAAACACGTCAAGTAAAACTTCTTCTGTCTTGATGATGTCACTCTCATGTGACCCTGAAGCAGCCAATGGTGGAGCTTGGTGTCGTGTTGCCTAGCAATGTAGGAGGCTGGTTTTTGCCTCTGAACACCAGTTAAAGGACGAAAGGATTCGTCACCAGCAAGCAGTGGTGGGAGGAGGGGAGGCCAGTGGAAGCGGAAGGAGGTCCAGTGGTGTTCAGCCTTGGCTGTATCAGGCATGTCCCTTCAGACCGCACTGAAAATGGAGAAATGTTTCTTTTACTAATGAGCCTGAGGCTTTCCAGTGTGATACGCTGGCTCGCGGCGCAATGGGGACAGGGCTGTGGACCGGCGCTCCTCTGCCTGTTCCTCGCTGCGGCTGAGCGCTGGTGCCCCTGTGGTCTAAAAGGTCCTGTCTCTCTGTCTCCCAGCTATGCCCACGCCCTGGACGGGATGTTCCGAGTCTGGCGGGAAGGTAAGGTTGCAGGACGGGAGGTGTGGGGACTGGGGTGGGGGTGAAGCTGGTTGGAAGGTGGGGGCTGTGTGGGGTGTGAGCAGTGGCCTAGTCTGGGTGGGAGCTGGACTGCAGTGTGTGGAGACAGTGGCCTGAAGAGGGGTAGCTGGCGGCCTGGGGAACAGCATGTCTGGATGCGCACTGAGGGGCTGCCTGGCGTCTCAGCCCATCTCTGCTCTTGTCTGTACAGAGGGGCTGAGGAAGCTGTTCTCTGGAGCTACCATGGCCTCCAGCAGGGGAGCTCTGGTCACAGTGGGGCAGGTAGGTGTCTGCTGCTCCGAGAGACCAAGCAAAGTCACACTGGACCCATCGAGCCCGTTTGGCTGATAGAAGCTAAGTGATGAGGAGATTTTTACATGTGTACATGTGTGTTCCTGGTCGAGAAGGAACGTCTTGAATAGAAAAGACTACGAGAGGACCTGATCAAAGTATCCAGGCTCCTTGACGTTTCTGATAGTCAAACCAGCGGATTGCTCCAGAATGAACAGTGAGACACGAACCACAGGATACAAGAAGGAATTACTTGACTTCAGCTTCAGTTATGTGCTTCAGACTCCAATAAACCTACATGAAAATAATTAGAAGTAGACTTCTAGTGTCTGTATTAAAATGAAATGACTAAATTTTTTTGCCTTTTTTAAATGAAGTGCTTCTGGAAGCTTTTTGTAAAGTGCTTCCAGAAATAGGCATTATTTTCTTCTCTTCAGACGGCCAGTTGAACTGATCCCCTGTCTCGTGTGTCTGTGTGCTGTCTTCTGTGTTTTCTAGTTGTCCTGCTATGACCAGGCCAAGCAGCTGGTCCTGGGCACCGGCCTCCTCTCAGACAACATCTTCACTCACTTCCTGGCCAGCTTTATTGCGGTGAGCCCGACCTCTGCCAGCAACTCCATTTCAGAGACTTCACGCTGAGCAGCGCTCTGCCCCCCAGCCAGTCCTCTTCTTGCGATGCTGGTCTTTGATCTCTCAACCACGTTCCTGTCTCTCCTGTGCAGGGTGGCTGTGCTACGTTCCTCTGCCAGCCTCTGGACGTGATGAAGACCAGACTGATGAACTCCAAGGGGGAATACAGGGTGAGGAGAGCAAGGAAATGTGAAAATGAATCCCAAAGACATGTTTTTTTTAATGTATGACCTGTGTTGTCTGCAGTACTGCTCAAATTATGGGGGGCTGGGGCAGCAGGTTTTCAGGCTCAAGTGCCACCTGCTGTCTGAGATTGGGGTGACCGTGTGGTCAGGGTTGTAGGTCTTGCATGTGAATGGGCTGTATCCCCGGCAGGGCAGCGGAAGGAGATGTGCTGAGGGTCACTGTGCTCTGTGTTGCAGGGAGTGATGCACTGCGTGATGGAGACGGCGAAGCTGGGGCCCCTGGCTTTCTACAAGGTAACGGTCCCGATCAGGGTCATTGGCATCAGAGGGAGACCTAGTGAGCGACAAGAAACCGTGATTTTCTGTCAGTGCAAGGCCGCCATTACTCTTTAGACAACTGCCTTTGTATCTTTGCGTACAGTAACATGAGTGTAAAATGGGGCAGTATCTGGTGTTGCCTTGTACACCCCAGCCTGAAACGGGTGCCAGTTAGAGCGTCTCGGCATGCTGGGCGGCATGACCGAGCAGTGACTGTTCTCCTCCAATCCCGTCGCAGGGCTTCGTTCCAGCTGCGATCCGATTGGTCCCTCACACTGTGCTGACCTTCGTCTTCCTGGAGCAACTGCGTAAGAACTTCGGCATCATTGTCATCGCCTGAGTGACCTCTCACCTCTGACTCTAGACTGCTGGACCCCCCCTCCCCCTCCACTGCCACTATCTCCTCCTCACTGCCGCCGGGATATGAGCGCCACCACCAGGCAGTGTGATTATTGCCCTCGAGAGATGGCTGTGTTACTAGACAGGGGAGCACAAACTCTGACATGCGAGATAGTTCCTCCATGTGTTTCATAAATGACCCAGGAGTGAGCTGGAAGACTTTGTTTCATAGACAAAATCCCCATCTTTCTGCAAGTGCTGTAGGCCTTGGTAGATGTTTCTCTATCATTTAAAAATGGATGCAGCTGCAGACATGAATAGGGGGCTGTTGTGTCTGAAACAAGGCTCTATATTTCCTGTGCTGTGTGTGACTGGAGCCACAGGCATGATGGCAGGCAGGCGGTGAATTAACTCCTGTAGGAGTCAAGGTGCCGGTATTCGGCTCTGCACCTGCAGGGAGGCGCCAGTGGGAGGCGCAAGTCTGGAGCACACTGCCCTGTTCTTATCCCTGTAGCCACAGTCACAGTCCTTTGTAAAACCGGCTCTTCTCTAGTGGTGACGATGAGCTTTAATTTGGCTCCTGCTTGGGCTTTCACTGGGACTGAGGCCAAGGTAGATCATTAGGTAGTTGGACGCAGCATTTCTGTTGTTCTTTAAAACTGAAAGGTTTAGAGGAAACACTGGGTTATAGTTATATTGTTTAGTGTATTGTATTGGAACTGTTTTGTAAACATACCTAGAAAGCTCAGTCTTAAAAACAGATTTGTTCTCAATGCAAGTTTAGAGTTTTGCTCCTCCATGCATCTGAATCTTTAGGAGACAGAGTATATAATTTTTTTTCAGGTTTGAAAATCATTCTCATCATTAATTGACATGTCCAGCAGGGTGCAGTGTTCAGCTGCATCTCAACGGTAGGTGAAAGTATCTGTGTGTGACTTGCGCTGGGTAAAAGTGGAAGGCCATTCACTCAGAAGTACGAGCTAATGCAGGTGGTTTGTCGACATGAGCTCCAGTGTTCCTTGATGCTTATTTAGGCTGCACTACTTCTAGAAAGAGGAGTGTGACACTATGACGGAGCACTGTGTGACACTTGAGCACTTATTGCAGTACAGTCCAGACTTATTCAGCAGGAACCTGACCCAGCGTCTCGAGAGGAGAACAGTGCCTCTTCTCAGACTTGTTTCTACAGGGGCTCATTTCATGCTTTAATTCTGGTGCTGTTGCAATATCCTAGTTTCCATAATACTGGGTTTGGCACTAGACCACTGGATTGGTAAATTTTGTGCTTTTAGAACACTTGTGTAACTGGAAAAACGAGGAGAGTTCTTCAAGCACAGAGTCTGTTCTGTGTGCAGTGTGGGCAGGGGTGACTCTGACCAACTGTGGACATTCCAGGGACAGAAACCCAGGTTATGAATGACTGAAACTCACAGAATAGAATTATAAGATATTTTAGATATTTTTGCACACAGACAAATGCACACAGTGGACATATAGACCAGTGAGCTTGGGTTTAGAGATACCAGGAAGTGGTCTAAACTCTGAGCAACTGCAAAAGTCTTATCGATGTGAATTATACGTCAATTTAGAAAACATCCAAGCAAAATAGCCAAGAGCTTATTTTAAGCTCCTCCAAACTGTAGGAGGACCACAGGCTCAGATTGACCAGGAGTGATTTCTTAAATATTGATTGTGAGCCAGTATATCTAACTGAGGGATCTTTTTCTGAAAAATTATGGGCACAGAGTTGTTCTGGAAGTGAGTCCAGAAACAGCTGTGATTGTGGGACACAAGCAGATGAGAATAATGCTGTCTTTTTCATGTGCTGTCATTGTTTTTGTTTTTTCTTTTGTATTATAGAAAAGAAACAAACCTTGATTTTTGGAAATGAAATAAAACACTTCGAATGTCTGTGTGAGTTGTCTCCTCTTTCGACTTCCATGAGCAGGTAGTCCATAGAGACTTCACCCGAGTTGAGCCCCCTCTCAACTCCACCTCCTTGTCACCTCCCAGCCACACAGCGAGCACCCCGTTCACCGCAGAGTCTCCGAAACAGCGATCCGAGATCCCAGTCATGTTTGTGGAGAACGCGCTTACCGCTGCCTCAGTTTCAGGCTTGATCAATGTGTGAAATCCTCCACTCAGGCCTGGCCACACTCTCGGCACTCAGGGCTGAGCTGAAGCCGACTGCTATAGAGCAAAGTGCCTTTTCTCACCGAAGGGCTGTGTTCTGCCATACTTTCTTCGTTTCTGAGATGGCAGGAGGTTGGTAGGCAGGCAGCTCTTCGTTTTAGATTATTCAGAAACCCTTGTAAATAACCACAGGGCTTGGTGACTTATCTCCTCCTGCTGTCTGGTTCCTCCTGGATCCTTCAGGGCTCTGCTCGGCAGCAGGGCTGTGGCTCGCCTCTCCAAACCGTAGGGAGGCCGAGGGGATGATGCAGCAGGCGTGTCTATACTCTGGAAGACTGCAGGGAGCTCAAGGTAAGTTTGTGAAAACTTTTTGGGATGCTCAGGTTGCTCTCTGGCAGACATGCTGACTGGTCTTAACATACCCAACGGCAGGGGGATGGGGATGTGTGGGTGTTATCGTATCTGGGGGCAGCTGGATGGTACACAAGTTTGAACACAATTTAAATGCTGTGTAACAGCCTGTTAGGCTGAGGCTGTCAAGGGTCCTCTAGCATTTGTAAATAGGGTCACCTACAGTAGCTAATTAATTTAATTACTGGTGGTGTAGTATGCAGAGTCACATGGGATAAATCTATAATTAGTGGTATGTCTGGAATCAAGAGGGCCTCACTCTGGTAGCTAGTGGTTGGGTTGTGGTATCAAGATTGGAGAGACTGGTTCTGCTGTTGAAACAGAGGGATCAATTCACCTGCACTGTCCATTATCGCCACTGTGAGTTCTGGGGTTCCCACACCCCTGGGGTCACCTTGTTTAAGGTCACAAGGATGTCACAAGCTGGTTCTATGTAATCGCTGCCTACAGTTTTTCATGATGAATAAAAGATATGTGTGTATTCCTCATACAAACTGTGGCTAGAACCATGATTTTCAGCAGCAGATGATCTCTTCTATTTAGTCTATTCCGACACCTGTTGCACCAGGAGGTGGGTACTTCACCTGTGCGAGTCTGTGCCACAGTCCAGCCAGTCCTTGCACTAACTCACGCAGGATTTACTTGAACTGCCCTGAGAGGCTCATGCTGCTGGAGAGATTTAGAGTTGTAGTTAAAGTTTTATTGGAGCACTTAAAGGAAAAAGGGACATAAATCCATTGACATTTCTGCTGTGGAGTGTCATAATCACTGCTTTCCCTCAATGACAAAAGACACGTGCAGGAGCAATAAAATCTTAAATAAGCAAGGCAGCGATGTCGTTTATGGACTCTTAAGTGCTCTGAAGTTTTTATCACTGTCCTGTATTTATTTCTTTTTTTTCAGATGGCAATGGCTTAATATTAAAGGCATCCCAGGGGAGCAGTTTGAGCCAAGACCTCCCCCTCCCATGAGTGTGAAGTCTTGCAGCTCTGCCTGTGTCTCACTGTTTCTGGATTTGTCTTCAGCTGTGGAAGGAGAAGCCCCACAGAGAGGCTGGCCACCCGCAGAGCAGTTTGGAAGTTACCAGGCTGATGATCTTAAGTTTTTGGACTCGAAGCAGTGCCAGGTACATGCCAGGCTGCATGCCAAGCAGCCACCCATGCATCTATTTACAGACTGTCCAGGGCTCTCCCATAATCCCTAGCTCCATCACTGGGCTGGTGCTCTTGTGGGAGGCAGTGAGGTTGCAGTTAAGGTTAGGGGCAGTGCTGGGGTTTGTGTGCAAATACTTAGATCTGTCATCAGCATCCAGATAGTTATCATGAGTTGAAACTTGCTGTCCGCAGAATAGCCATAAATTGTGGACTGGCAAGATTCTCACTCCTAATGGTGGCTGGGGTTTATGGGGTATCAATTACAGCACTTCCCCTCGAGTGTGATGCAGACTTGAATGTGCGTTTTAACTTCAATTCGGACCAGAGAAAGTGGGTAACAGGGCAGTAAAGCTGTAGGTATTACTATTGATATCACTGCAGTGATGGAGGTTAGAATTCTGAAGGGGCAGTTCTTGGGTCACGACTGTCGCCATCGTGAGCGTTTTAATGAATCTTCTAAAGTGGTGAAGGAGTGAGATCACCTGAGACCACCCCCAGCCTCCGACTCCGACAAAGCAGGAGGTCTGGCAAATTTCTCACAGCTGAACCACTGAAATACCTCGGAGCAATTAAACCCCATCGGAATGCCCTCCTCCCCGGACCTCCGATCGCAGCGTTGCCTTATAAGGCCAGCTGGGGGAAGGGAGCACAGCGCCAAGGGCTGACAGGAGAGCCGCTCTGAAGGGTGTCTGAGCAAGGGAACTGCCTTTGGGAAGATGGGAGCATATTAGGAGCACATAACTGCTCTTCAGTTTTAATTAAAAATGATGAAACACCAGAACATGAATTCACCTAAGCCTGTTGCCTTCTGGCCAATGATTATGAAATAAGTGGGATTTATCTTCCCCTTTATTATCTCTTTGAAAAACATTTCTCTCTGACCTTTAACCTCTGATACCTGTGACAGGTAACTCACTGGAGATGGCTGGATGCATTTTCACATGCTTTGAAATCTCCTTACGCCCCTCGATGTGGTCTTAAGGCTGAGACGGACCTGTGCCTTCTGGTGGTGGTAAGTGTGGGATCTCAGATCCTTGGTGTCCCAGTCATCCCCTCAGGCTTGCCCCTCCCCCAGGGGGGCGTGCACTCATGTCACATGACACCGGCAGGGCCGTGCTCTGATTGGATGGCTTCTGCATAGAGGGTGGAGAGCAGCCTCATGCTCAGAGAGGCATCCCTGTTTTGTGCCTTTGCAATGATATGGTATGTCTTTGAGCTGGGCTGGGACGTGTAAGCAGGGCAAGCTGATGTGAGGATTTCAATAGAAAACATGAATGTAAAATTCCTTATTTAGTGAACTTATTGTTAACAGCTGTGGCGTGAGTTAGATTAAATTATGTTTATGTACTTAAGGATGGTAGTTTAACCACAGTGAGTTATTTTAACAGCTTCCCCAGGGTTAACTAACTGTGCTTTTCAAAGTGTGCTGACTGATCTCCTGGCACTCGATACAGGAGTCTTCTCTTCTCTGGACTTCGGCAAGCAAGATGCTGCACTGTCCTGCTCTGTACTGGGCAGCTGGGCATCTCTCTCCCATTGTGTTTCTCCCATGAGCCATTCCAAGTCTTAATCTGATTTAATGTAATTGACAATGTTCTGCCAGAACTCTCATCGTTCCATCTGATACACAGGGAATTCACTCACTCCCCATTATGGGTTTCAAGAAATTAAATTATGATGACTTAATTTTTGGTTTTGGAGATTTTTTTTTACACAATAGATGTTATTCTTGTTCTAAAGCAATTTGGAAAGTGCTCCAAATGCACACTACTAGTTTTTTAACAAAAGGTTGCAGCTCTTATCGCAGTATCATATTTCCTGTGTTGTCTTTAAAGAGAAACTTTGCTGTATTTTCCTCAGTTTAACAGCAGCTTTTTTATTTGGTTTTCTTCTGCTGTCAATCCATCAGTTCTGAATCCTCTAATTTGAAGAAACTTGAGAGAGAGGTGTAGCACTGTGTTACTGGGAGCAGTGCACTTCAGTAAAGCTCATTGAGTTAAACAGAGCTCACGTGGAGACTTCAGAAACAGAGGCACATGTGTCCAGGTCCCAAGTAAAGGACTTTGCCCCAGGGGTTCCCAGTTCAAGCCCACTGGCTGTGCTACTGACTCACTCGCTGTGTGCTGCCATGAGATGAGTGCTGTGTGAATTCCATCTGTCTTCTGGAGGAGCATCAACGCTGCGATCCTGTGGGCAGCTACACCTTGCCCTGGTGGTGTCTGTGTTCTGTTAGTGATGACTGGTAATTTTATAAGTCGTTACAGTACCTAAGGCCAGTGTCTCCTGCAGATGAACATTGTGGAAGCAGTACTACACATTTTTGCACTACATAGGAGGGTAGAATTGCCTCTGACTGACCTGCCTGTTGTGAAAGACCAGCCTGTAAAATGATTAACTCCTGGCCAGTGTGTGCAGCTGAGGTGTCCCAGCAGGCCCTGAGACCAGTCGGACAGATGGACTTTCTCCCTTGTGTTTATCGTCCTCCGGTGGCCTGAGCTGCCCAGTTTGAGGTGTCTGAGTTTCTGATGTCCAGCTTCAGTAGCTGTAGAGCTACAGGCCTCTCCCACAGGTTGGTGAAGAAAACTGTGTGAATGCCAGTCAGTGGAAAAGGCATCCAGCGATCGGGCCAGTGGTGCTGTTATGCTTGCTCACAGCAGAGGAGCGACAGTGATTTATCACCCCTGTGAGGGATGATAAACAAAGAATCGTGGGCAGGAATACATTTTCTCCAGAGCCAAAACCCCATGTGGCTATTAAACACGACGTGTATAGTCTAATCAAGCTGCCCACATTGTTTCCAAATCCCATTAACCCAAGTCCTGACACCCTGACAGACAGAGATAGACAGAGATTACTGTCCCTAATCTGAAATGAGCACTGATGGAAAATCTCCATGATCACTCTCTGGCGCCAAGTGGAGATCAGATGAATTGTGAGTCTTTTGTGTTCAGGATATGTACGGGAATCTACAGAAAATTGCTTTCTTTTATACTTCCTTTTAATCAAATCTCCCCTATAAACTGAGTAAGGAGAAAACTGCTGACCTCTCCGATGATCTTTGAGACTTTGGTACTTGATGTTTCAGCCTTGAGACTGCAACTGCCTTGTCAGCTGATACTTCAGCTCTTATCAGGTCAAAGGTCAGAGGTCTGCTTCCAAGGCTGGCTGGATTGTTTTCTTTTTAGCTTATTGACTTGGAGTCAA